TTTTTTTTTCCTCAGACAAACCGAATCGATTTGCTTTTTTTAAAGAATACTTATTGATGGATATGCAAAAGCTAGGATAACAGGAAAAAGCTAAAGTTTTCCACTGCTTATTTTTTTCCAGACTACTTCAGTTTTCCTGTGCTACAAAGAAAACCGGTTTGAGGATTTTTCTAAAGAGTTGCAGCTTTTCAGGGCGTAAGATTTTATTTTAGGTACAAAGAAGCATCTTTTTCAGTCCTGTTTTTTTTCAGATTTAGGATCACTAATTTTGTTCGGTATGGAATTTTCCGATGTAAGACCCCCCGATATTGTTGACAGACACACAACGAGTGTAGTTTTGCTAAACCTTTGCGTTCGAGACGACTTACCCGCATTTGTCACCCAGTGTTCTCACTACAACTTGTATCATCCTCTCCGGAATTACTCGAGTAGCCAATTTTCTTAGCACAAGAACTCTAGCTAATATCTTGTAACATTACCCCATGGGTGAAGGTCAAGAATTTGATTTTGCCAACGAATGAATCAATTTTCTACTTTTGCTTCCACGGGTGGACTAGAACCATCCCATAATAAATTGCAAGTTTTCCATTTTTACGTAAGTCTATACTTATAATGAGGTCGGGCCACTTATGATGACAAGGTCGGATCACCTGCCTAATTTTGGAAATTCTTCGTTAATCTTTCTTAACGAACGTATGGCTCAGTCAGTAGGGCTATGCGATAAAGCAAAGACTACTGTAAATTTTTTTCGTCGGTGGATGCAGCAGTTAGATCCATTATGTTGTTTTTCCTATTTTTCACTCAACAATACCTTTTTTAAAAAAAAAAGACTGAGAAAATCAAGGATGAGAATAGATTTTTGAGTTCCGTTCCTGAAAATTCCAGTACGTAAAGTCTCAAGTGCTGTTTTTCTTTTGTTTTTTGAATCATCAGCACTCTGTCGATAGCACTCTGACAAGACGTCGATGAATTTCTTTTCGAGAAAAGCTTAAAATTCATTTGGTAGGAATGATGAAGTGCTAGGTGTGCTAGTACCAATTTAGCACCGAAGTGAGTCATCCGAAATGTTGGTAAAAAGTTTTCTCGGTGATGAGTTTGAAGTAGTAACTTCCAGTCTAGATAGGCTTGCTATCTCAGAGTTTCAGTAGTCTTACAGAATGTTTTGAAGAAAATGCCATTACTCGATGTTTCCTCGATCTTCAAGTGTTACAGCGATTCGTTTTTATACATTTTGTGTCGCTGATGAAAGCAAAAACTTATATTGATGAGAGGTTACCGATACGTATGTGTTTAAATTTTGTTGTTCACTTTCAGCAACCAGAGAAGCTAGGAATCAAAAGGATGTTTCCGGCCCACATGCAGTCTCAAAAATGTAAAACCAATCCTCGCTGAGCTCTGCGTCTCATGCAAGGACACCCTAAGAAAGTAGAAGGGTTTTGAGAGAAAAAGATTTCGGAAATCAGACAATAGGGTAGTCTAAATTTTTACAAGAACAAGCCCTTTTAGCGGTATAGCAGGATTATCCGATGTTTTCTAGGTTTTCAGCCACGAAGGCGATTTGTTAAGTTTTTTTGCTGCATAATTTGATGTTAGTTTTGGAAAAACAGTTACTTTTCATAGACAAGCACGGCGATTCCCTGGTCCATAATGACCTGGTGGAACTGCACGATGTTCGGATGATCCAAATTGTTGTGCATTTCAATGTTACGTGCTAGATTATTGTCCAGTGGACGAAGCTGAGCCAAAAAGCGTTTACCGGTTGCGCGTTCAGTAACGTGGAACGGTGCTCCGGCAGCAGCAGCTCTGCAAAAACAGAAAATGGTAAGCAAGACCTCGTTCGATTTTCTGGGAAATTTTGACACGCTTCCGGGAAATTTTGCCCAAAATTTTGCCATTCGTTACAATCTGTAGTGAGATTTAAGAATTTTTTAAGAAAATTTTATGGAACGGCAAAATGTTGGTTTCTAAAAATTCCGGAAGTAAAGCGACGAAACTCTCTCTCTCTTTCTACAGCAAGAAAAAAATTCACAAGAGTTTCCCGTGTTTTCTTTTTGAATCTAAAAGATAAATCTAGATGGAATTTTTGCTTTTTAGAATTCAAAAACTGGCCAGTGCAGCAGTTACTGATTTAAATACTCGAAATGCCTTCTGGCTAATTTTAGTCTGATATTAGCACTTGAAAAAAGTTTATTCAATTTTTGTCGAAATTTACATTTCCTTGTAGCATTTTTTCAGCCAAGAGAGAGTGTGTGCGCTCCGAGGCCTTGTTTACTTTCTGCTTTTACAGCACAAGAACTTAGCGCAGTTTCATCACTTCCTGTTTTTTTGAAAAATTTCGGAAAAATATCGAACATTTTCAAAATACATTTCCTCGACGTCGAAAAAAAACTGGCTATGTTCTTGTACTGCAACGGCTGCTGCTGCTGCTAATTTTTGGTGTTAGACACAAAATCACCCAAATTTTTTGGTTGAGTTGTCTAAAATGCAAAAAAAAGAAAATTTATCCTGAAATTCGGAGCACCGGACCGTGAACGGCAAGCGTCTAGAATTAACGGTTAGCTGAAACTCAGCAACCTTGAAAAAATAGGGCACAGAACGAAAGCAGCAAGCAATAATTGCAAGGCACAGCTGCACACAACACTCTCGGGCTTGGCCCGTGGAAAAAAAATCACAAGGAAATGTTTGATTTATTTTCGACACCGTTCTGTATTTCATACATTGGCACAGAATTGTACGAAAATGATAAAAAATAACGCAGTGATCGTCAAATTTTTGCGCTTTTGAGTTGTCTTTGTACAAAATTTCAACGAGTTTCAATATTTCTACAGCCCGATGCACCAAGTTTTTGCTGTAAGAGATAAAAATTGCGCTTACGCGAGAAAGTTCAATAAAATCGGAGTAAACTGCAGCCCCTTGCCGCATTTTTTTTCAAAAAATTTCAACAAAAAATGTCAAATTTTTTAAAATTTTCAGCAAAAGGAACGGTTTTATATCGAAAAAGTCCTGCACTCATGGGATGCCAAAGATAATTAAGCTAGTTTCTTTCTCCCCCGAGGTTTTTTGCTTACAGTTGTCATCCCCCAACCTGTGCTAAATATATGCATCAGTGTTTGCAGCTATGTAAAACCTCAAAAAATATGTAAAGGATTTTCTGCTATTATCACTGCGTCATTTTTGCAATCAGTGCATAGCTAAAACCATGAATTAATAGTTATCACAGTATGCATA